TACTACAAGAACGATTTCAAACGAAATCCAGAATCTTTTTTAGAWATCTTTGTTCGATATTGRCCATGGGAGGAGCATAYGAGTACTTTGTGGTCCCAYAGATAACAATGTTGTTCCGTCTATCTTTCCGAGCCAAAACTAATTGAGAGAGAAAGAGATAGATAGACAGATAGATTGAAGAATTCGGTTCGACCATTTTGCGTGTCCATAGAAAGTTAACAACATGAAAAACATCCTCGATTCGTTTTCCGTCACCCCCGCATTGCCTAGCTTTCTGTTCTTGTTGGCGGATGATATCGGATGGGCTGACTTTAGTTACAACAACGGTACGGCCCTAACACCAAATATCGACACCTGGGCCAGAGCGCAGGGATCTGTCGTGCTGCAAGATTTCCACAGCGGTGGTTCTGTTTGCTCTCCCACACGAGCAACTGTTTTAACTGGCCGCAATCATCTCCGAGATTGTGTAGATTACGTCTATGGATGTAGCGACATTCGATCTTGCCCTACCCTCGCTTTTGAGTTTGCACCCTCGGAAACATTCACGGTTGGAGATGCGGTTCGAACGGCCTATCCAGAGGATTATGATAGCAAAGGAGGGGCATATTTTGCTGGAAAGTGGCAYCTCGGATCCTTTTTCAACGATTCAAAGGCGTATGGAGGAATTCCCTCTTCTCCCATCACACACGGCTTCACGAAAATGAATGCTACAATCGAGGTCGCTCCGACAGCAACTACAAATTGTCAGTGCAAGGCAGAGTGGGTGGATTCCTGCGATTTTGGTCATTATAAAGAGCCAAATCACTGCTTTCCGGAGGGGGAGTGTTGTTTTAATTATTGGTGGGACGATCCATTAGGTAMATCGATTCATGAACAATCTTKTTGTASACCATGTGTGCGAAGATGTCTTTRGTAGTTTTCAATGCATGTATTGAYGGTGATGGTATGCTGCGAAACTGAATTCCCGTGTTTATCTTCTGTCCTATTTCTACTTGCCGTAGCTCCACATGGTGTTACAAACCTAACTTGGCCAACTCCTCCTGACGACTCCCTCTATTTGGCGGATGCCTTTTCTCGGTATTTGAAGGATCGAAGTGCGCAACAAAAACCATTTCTAGGTAAGAAAAATGGACGATGTTAGTYCATCCGATTCGATATCGACAGGCAACCATCGTCTCATTTATCTTCGATGCATTCAATTTTTCTATTMTTCCAGCACAAATYAGCTTCCACAATTGCCATATTCCGTTCATTGGATCTRAAGAAGCGAAGGAGTCGTGYGCACGAGGAGAAACCTGCCAACTCCCTCAAAATGGTGAAGAACCGTTTACTGATGAGGAGCTAGATTACTACGCATGTCTAGTCGAGCTTGATAATGCTGTCGGGACGATATTAGCCGCTTTAAAAAATCATGGGTACTATGACAATACAATGGTAAGTGAAATGYATTGTGGCGACGCARGAAAAGTTGACTTTTYCGACGCATTTCCTACTAAAAGTCRCATCTTCGCTCTTTTTTCAAACATATAAATTACAAGACATGGTTTGCGACAGATAATGGCCCTGAGATGAACTGTCCCCCAGATGGTATTTGCAAAAGAGCAAACACRAARCCGCAAAGACCAGAAGAAGGGCCAGGATCCGCGGGACGACTTCGAGGCCGAAAGAGAGACATTTACGAAGGTGGGCACCGTGTCCCTGGTATAGTATCRTATCCATCAGAAGTAAAGGATACAAACACAATATCCTGGGAGACCATTACAACCATGGACTTTCTTCCTACAGTTATGGAAGTATTAAATGTTGATCGTCCAAAAGAACAGAAGTCTTGGGCATTCGATGGACGGAGTATCTTACCTTTGTTGCGCAATGCTACGGATTTTAAATGGAGAGATACTGTTGCAGGCCCACGTAGTGTGGGATACCAATACCATGACCCTAARCTCGATTTAGCTCATGGTTGGGGTTACCGATTTGGAAGATGGAAATACGTGGAAGGGAGTTCGAGCTGTACTATTTCCGACTGCCAAAAGCCGCAACTCTTTGATCTTGAAGCAGATATAGGAGAGCGTCATGATCTTTCCACAGAATACCCTGATATCCTTGCAGACTTGCAGCTCAAATTTCGATTTTGGCATGATTCAGTTATGAAGTCTCGACGGGAGGAATCAAAGTGTCGGAAAACAGAGGAGCTCGGGATGCCGCCATCATTGGTACTATCGGCAGCGACCGAGTAACAAGGAATGGACTACATTATTGTAACGTATCATTTCTTATTTATTTTATCTTCGTCAAAAGAGGAGATGCATCACTAGGTAGTACCAGTAGTAAATAATACTGTAGTACGTACAAGTACCCTAACACTATTATTTCTACCGTAGTACCGGTACGTAACGCACACGCGTACGTCGCATTTGTTCGTCTGTCCATCGTTTTGGGAATTTTTCAATTTTGTTGTCGATCCGATCCTTTTCGATGTTCAACGTGAATCTGGAGTTATGAAATACTTCTAGAAAACGATCAAAATGATCTGCATGACGTTCCTTTTTATCAGCTAGCACTAACTATTTGGAGTACGGGTAATACACATTAAGTTCCTCCAGACAARCATCGGTACAGYAATCGAACATCATGGCGCAGTTCTTTTCAATGGTATTGTTGCTGATTGGCGCGATTGCTGGTGTACATGGTTGGATKTCAGCCCCAGCCCAAGCGCGAACATCAACGGGGCTGGACATGGTCGAGTATCGACGAAGAGATTTTTTAGGAACATCAGCGTTCACRACAGCTGCCGTCCTATCCAGTCCAGCGGCTTCATTTGCTTCATATATTGACCCTGTTAGTGACCCACCAAAAGTTACGAAACGAGTTTATTTGGATGTTGCATTCGGATCGAATGACGCAGAAAAAGGTCGTCTAGTGATTGGCTTATTTGGAGATCTGATGCCGAAAACAACTCAAAATTTCGAACAACTTTGTGCATCGAATGCTTATGCCGGGACCAATTTTTACAGAGTRMTTTCGGACTTTTCTATCCAAGGAGGTGCTATTGGAGATTCGACGGGGAAGACRGGACAATCTTCGTTCGAGGGCGGCAAGCCTTTTGAACCGGATAACTTTAACTTGAAACACACCAAATATGGGCTCGTTAGTATGGTGAGAGGAATCGGTGGCGGGGTCGATTCACGATTTTTCGTGAACACTCAGGATGATGCTGGCTGGGCCGATGATCGCTACGCAGCTTTTGGTATCGTCGAAGATGGTTTGGATTTGGTAAAATCAATCGAAAAAGTGCCTGTGAARCCACCGAAAAATTCTCCAATTTCAGAAGTCAAAATAGTGGCAAGTGGTGTCCTTTRATTTAAATATTTGAAACGCAAAGAAAATTGGAATCGTAACTGAAGATTGTGTTGGAGTTTCATGGCGAAGACCATACATTGAGGGTSTTGTTACGAACCAGAATCTASATAAAATCATCATATCGACTCTTTGTACCTTTCGATACAGTTGAAATGAATACACCCATTCCAACTTGAGTCACAATATCAATACACAAAMAAGTATAAGAAATAGCTGCTCTTTTGATTATCATATTTCAGCGATGCAAGATGCTTAGGCAGAATTCAGGGTGACGGTGACAACAATCATAGTCAAAWGAAAAGCCTTCAGATATAGCTGAAGTTGTAATGAGAGAAGTCGTATTCAAGAGGACTATTTTGTCAGGAGAACAAAAGGATTGAATCGTGCATGACAGACATATTTTTCCCAGATATTTACAATTATGGACATTATTCGATTCGGATGGGATGAAAGGCAACTAATTCTTTTTTTTGGTTGGTTGTTGTCTGAAGGACCAGAGAATATGTGGCAACTCAGCGGTTTGAAGTGATGCAAAGGTGGGAACAGTTGAAGCTTTATGGGACCATTTGGTGGCAGATTGCTCAGTTGTCGAAGGAWTACTACACTGCTGTGGTTATTGGTTTAGTAGAAACTGGTGATACTACTATTACAACTACGATTCCTCTTGAGTTGAGTTTCTTGTTGTTTCGACTGGTGTTTCATGGGAGGGTAAGCCCTGTCCAGCATTTGTCCAGACAATGTGAAAGTAACACTACTAGTAGCTGGTACTTCACTGACTTCCTAGGAAGAAGACTTTACCTTTTGATGCTCATACTATCTTTAACTCTCTCAATACAACAAAGTACGAAGTAGAAGTACTTGAGATCGAAGGTCATTTTCCAGTTCGTACCGGTAGTAGTAACTGTTTCATTGCCCTACACGAATGAAACCAATGAAACCAGTCGTGCACCTACTTCAAGGGAACAAAAAACGGGAAACTAGGATTTGCTTTGTTTTTTCCGAACAAAGATCGTTTTCATGCGTGTCGACTAGATCAATCAACTGGATCAACTCTCTACCCGTACCGTACGTTAAAAGGTAGGAACGAGTATTCGTACTCGTACTTTTCCGCCCGTACAGATACAGGCGCCGCTAACGATACTCGTATCATTGATGCAGCCGATACTGTTTTGGTCAGGTAACATTTACGAGTTCTCGCGTCTGAAGAGCAAGTTCTGTACTTGGAATGGCACGARTTCCAAGAACAGACAACGTTGAGTTCGATTCTCAGTACACGATATCTTTGATAATGATCCCTGACTTTCGTTTTGTTGCGATACATCTCAATAAATTGGAAAAGGGTCGACGACAGTAAGGTTCTGTGCTACGTAGAAGGTCACATCATTTGATTGAAAATAAAAAATTTTGCTCGTTTTCGAAAAGGTGGGATAGATATTCAAAAGTTACGAATTTTTGTCTTGGTCGTAGAACCACTATCTAGCACATTCCCATGGTGGATGACGACAGAATTCGATCCCAGAAAGAGGAGAGCTCGCTTTCTGATACTTCAGGTTTCGCAACTTCAAAATCTTTGCATTCKGCATCACGTGAAGAATTATCCGATTCAATAAATACTGCGTTACTCTACTCGGACACGGATATTTCGAAGGGATGCACTCATACAATTCCATGGGATGCAAATATACTGATTGGTCTTCAAAAGTGTCCGATAACTATGGAACCAGTGGGAATGGTCTGTGATGGTCTCGTAGCATCAGTGGAGAAAGAAAATCGCGATAAGAAYAATAACRGCGTTCATAGAATTGTTCGATTCAAATTCGGAAAGAAAATTTATCAGCTAACAACCATAGGTGAGAAAACCGAGCAAMAAAAAACACAGCAAGACCCCCTGACGACGGGTTGGTTCGAATATTTTTCGGGCACSAAGTCAGCTACCACGAAAGACAACTGCATCACAACTACGATGCTAGCCCAAAAGCGGATCGCTCAAGCTCTAAACCTGGCAAGTTTGAAAATTTTGCACAAGGGAAAAGTCGTGTATCCTCCTCCTCAGTGTTCAGAACCGATGCAAGAAACTTCGATTTCACTGGAACTACTAAGAATTTCCGACGAACATTGGTTTGGCAGCAGAAACAACAATAGGAAAAAAGTAGCACTTGTGGTCATGGGGACATCGAAAGATGGACATCTGAARGAATCTTCCAAAAATAGTCAAGGATATAAGAAAAAAAGTATTCCGCAACTATTGCAGCAATCGATTTGGTTTCCAGTCAGGATTTTTAGTTGGTCCCTACAAATGTCTTGGCATTTGGTCACTTCGTTCTTCGCACCATTTTTGCCGTCTTATTTGCTAGGCGGCGAAGGTGATRGTCGAAATAGTATCGGGAATGGAAACACSGAGCACTCCCGACCTCATCAAGATTGAAAAATGCAGAACCTTCGAGATGCCAGATTGAGACTATTTAATGAGCATTCTRCCTTCATATTTTCAACCTAGGGCTCCACTAGACTCGCCATCGCTCAAATAAYGTWCACAAAAGGTGGACCAAAYAGCAGYATWAAGGACTTTGTAGTAGAACACAAAATAAACGAAGACCAACATCCATGTGTGTACTACTAGTGTCAATCTTTGTTTCTTCAAAAGACGTTTTGTGAGCTTGGTCAGCCTGCTGTAGCTATGTGACGTAGTACTTGTTCTAGGAACATTCAMTTAGTTTGYGYCTCAAATTCAGCTATGCACTTYGTCTGTCGAGTTGCTTTCTGATGCTGAAAACAAGAAGGACCCACRTGATGGATAGTATGCGGTGCCCCTSGCGAAGTCTGGAACTGGACTCGTATCCATCGAGGGTATTTAAGATATCTATKCCATGGCTGAAGTCTTGCGCGAAATCGTGCTCGTCATAATCGCCGTTTTGAAATTGACCAATCAGAACTCCGAGAGACCGACACACATCATTCTAACCGACGTAYGGTGATGTACSTACGGTAGGATTATGGCTTTGCRKTACATCACGCATTTTCACGTCTGCACAGAATGCGTTCTTTTTTCTTTTTGTCAGCCTCTGAACACCAAAGAAAACATGCGTAAGGGTTTTCACGAAACTGCCGACGGAAATATTACGAAGTACGAAGTACAAGTAATTCAGTGTTCAATTCTTGTCTACCGATAGATGAGGGGGAACTCAGCTAACACCGGAAAAGTACACAAAACTAAACGTCCAAGTATCCACTGCTAGSCACTGAATCGATAAATAAATTTTAAAATGGTCTTTCTACGAGTTATTCGTGGTGCAGTGTGCATCTTCGCTGTAAAAACTGCAGTCGAGGCGTTTCAGCCGCCGATATCATCGAGGCCGAGCACAAYTCCTGTTGGTCTCTTTTCGTCACCGTCGTCYTCGCAGCCATCTACAATGGATGTAGAAAATGATATCAATGCGGAACCTTCTGTCAAAGTTGAGGTTGTCAGCTCAAATGTGGTCGAAGCTGCAGCTGCGAAGACCGCTGCTTTGACAAGTGGTCCCTCATATCTTGCCTCCTTGGAGAACAGCGTTCGACCAAGCAAAAATGACAACCATTCCTCAYCCAAGGCCGACGTTGTACCTACTGAACGAACAACATCTGCGAGACGGCCAACCCGGCCGACAACATCTGCTGCTAAAGCCCGAAAGAATCGAACGACAAAGACGGGTTCGGTAAAAATAGCGGAATCAATGGAAGAATTACTCGATACTATGGACGGCAAAAGCAACGGGGAGAACCGAAMCACCAACGATGGTGCTTTGACGCTCATATTGTTCCATGCCCATTACTGCAAAATTTGCCAGCGGGCTGGTATGCAATTGAACAAGGCTGCAAAGGAGTATCCCGGCGTAATATTTGCGAAGGTAGAATCGCAGGTCTTTCCAGATCCTGTTGCTGATAGCCTGAGGACCCTGGGTGTGTCGAAGTTTCCCTTTGTACAAATCTATCGAAGGGGGCAATGCGTCGCATCGTTTTCGACGGGCCCTACGCATATGTTTATGAGAAAAGTTCGCGATACACTGGACCTGTGTCTGGAACGTGACGAAGAGTGCTGGGACTCCTTCACCACAGAATTCGCGTCGGAAATCGAGTCGAATCGATCGGCTCGAAGGACTTTTGGTCCGATGCCTTGAACGGTTTGAATTATAATGCACCCATACAAGYAAYTGTYATATGTATGCAATAGCGGAACCGGGAATCAAGTTCTGCATTTACTTGCTGGTGATACGAAGCCTGCACCTGTGTTTTGTCACGATTTGAATCTAGAAGTACAGATCGAAAACGCCATTTTATCCTATTTTTTCGATTGAGAAGAGTATGGTGYATGTTKCACTATACAGTTTCAATAGCTYCATCCAAATTCAATGAGGATGCTCAAATGGGATTTGTAATGATRTGAAACGCTTCTTTGGGGAAAATGTCATAGGCATATCGAATCTAAAGAACTTRGKCTGCAGGGCTRCCACCGGCTTGCAGCATGATATAATCTGTTTTAAAACATGATCAGAAACTACGAGTAGAAATCAACATAGATCCTATGGCTCAAGATTGTGATATCTGAAAATAATGTTTCAAAATTTAGAGCTATTTTTTTGAACGCAACGATTGAGGGTATTGTTCCATGAAAGACGCAAGTTGATTTCAGGGCGAATCAAAAACCACGACCAAGACCCTCGAGRCGAGTAACAACACCATTGAAATGCTGCTACAACATGAACTTGGAATAAATTTTTGTCTTGTGATTGCGATCATTTCGTGAAGAGAGTTGTTACTTTTACAAAAATATTCATCGTTATACTTTGACAACCATGTTGACAAACTTTAGATGACATTGCATGGATTAGAAAAGATCATCGCAGTATTAAAGTATCATCGTTTCAAATCCGCAGCAATAACGATTGCAGAGGTTAATCCGACCTTAATCTCCATTTTGATGTGAACCTCTCCTTCCACTTTCGAAACACCAAATCATGCACCCCCTCTATTTCTTCTCTGATTCTAGCATTTTTTCCATCCCGGAAACTAGATGAGCGATCCGGTAGGCTTGTTTTGTTACTTTGGCCTTAAGCCGTTCGTTTTCGTCACGGAGGGCGTCCAGTTCGGCGGACGAGGCACCATTATTTTTCCCGTCTTGTTCGTCCTTTAGCATGCTCGCTTTTATGTCTCGCAGAGTCGCCAAGAATTCCTCCTCTCTCGCTCGGATAGCTGCCTGAGTCGCATTAAATGCACCGCCATTCTCMAGGGCTGCCACGCGTTTTTCGATATCCTACCGAGTAATGGTATGCGAGGTGCGTAATTCATTCGGTACAGCACAATATGCAGTGGGTTAGACAGAACAGGGAACACCGAGTAAGTTCGTCAAAACATGAAGAACAGAATCAAGAAAAAGTATTAATTTAGGGATCACTATTCTTACCGCCATGATTGCTAAGTTGACGAAAAATTTTGCTTCTATCCCTACTTGATTGCAATGCTATTGTTCTATCGTCATCGACCGAAGACCGTCAACCAAACGCAAATTTGAAGGACAACTGCTGTGTACCGGTAAATCTACATTGTGCACCTCTGAGCGAGGAAAGAGAACAAGAACGGGGTTTCGTCGTCGCCATTATTATTTGACGGTCCATTTCGGGGTTGTGAATTGGCCCCGTTTTAAGATGGTCGGTTTCGAAATCAGTACGAACTGTTTTAGTCTTTTGTTAATTTTTCGACTTCCATGATTGGCTAGCTAGGAAAAACTTCTCCTGAACATTAAGAATGAATGCCTGGACTTTGGATCTTTGATTCTTGACACRGCATTTTCTATTTCTATTTTTAGTACTCGTACCTACTGTACTTCGTAACAGGTACTCCAAGTACTTGCCCTGTTCAGATCTTGGAATCCGAACACCACTAGCGGGAACTCGTGCTCCATCTGCATGTAAGTTGCTGGACACAAAATGGATCAGACAGTCATTGTGATACGTCCAAGCCATCATCCTCCAAAAGAAGCCACCAGYAAATTCAATGTACTTTGCCTGAAAGWACCGAATATCAGTCAAGCGAAGTAGACAAGAAGATATCTAGCACGACCAAAACACAATGGTAGTGCCCAGTGAAAGTGAAAGGCCATCGGYCACGAGGAGCGAGCATGGCACCGATGGCAATCCTACAGTTCMCRGCGTAAGAAAACACTTTCTCAGAAAATGCAACAAAGAAGTGGAAACAAAGTCACAAGATGGTGGCATCGGAAAGGTAGGAACCTTCCGGGCTCAGGCCGTTGCTCGTAGATACGTCAACACCTCTCGAAGAAACTTAATGAAGGACATGCATACTTCAGTCGAACTTGGCCTATCTTCCGGAAGTRTAGATTCGGGAATCGCGACCGAAGAGACCAATTTGGTWCAGCAAAAAGTCAAAACCTCCGATCTGGTTGGAAAGAAAAATGAATGGAAGAGCTTCCTGGACATCTGGGTCGGAAAGCCCATCAGTTATTTCCTCMTTTTTACTCCGTTCGCTTTAGCATCTCACTACCTAAATTGGGGTGCTCGATGGGTTTTTTGGCTCAACTTTCTCACGATGATCCCTCTAGCTTCTATCTTGGGAGATTTCACCGAAGAAGCGGCCCTTCATACAAATGATGTTGTTGGGGGCCTCATGAATGCCTCTTTTGGAAACGCCGTGGAGGTTGTAGTGGCTATTCAAGCCTTGATGCAAGACGAAATCCGCGTTGTGCAGGCAAGTATGATAGGATCCATTTTCTCGAACTTGCTATTAGTCTTGGGTTGCTGCTTCTTCTTCGGTGGCTTTTATTACAAGGAGCAAACTTTCTGTGGTATTAATGCAGTGGCAGGTATGGGACTATTGGCGTTGAGCAGCATTGCACTGATTCTACCTTCKCCATTTGCAGAATACTTCGAAACAGAGGATGAAGATGTGTTGACCATTTCTCGCGTATCTGCGTGCTTTATGCTTCTATCGTACATGCAGCTTTTGTTCTTCCAATTGTACACGCATCATGATAGTTTTGAATCTGAAACCGAAGGAGCTGACAATGAAGAAGAAGAAGAAGAAGAGGAAGAAGAAGAAGCCACCGTTCCTATGTGGATGGCATTGCTTGGATTAGGAATCACGACTGGAGCCGTCACTATCTTCTCCGACTATTTGGTGGAAAGTATCGATGATTTTTGTACTGAGTCCGGTATCAGTAGAACGTTTGTTGGTTTAATTATTCTCCCCATCGTAGGAAATGCTGTTGAGCATATAACCGCTGTAAGCGTGGCGATGAAGAACAAAATGGACCTTGCTCTTGGTGTTGCTATTGGGTCCTGTACACAGATTGCACTTTTYGTCGTCCCGGTTACCGTCATCTTCGGTTGGGGCGCCGACAAGCCGATGACACTTAACTTTCCTACCTACGAGATCTCCCTTTATGTTTTATCCATTTTCACTGTGTCGGTTTGTTTAGGAACAGGAAAAAGCAACTGGCTTTTGGGATCTGTTTTGATCACGACATACATCATGGTCGCTATCGGATTCTGGTTTGAAGAAGTTGAGGATTTTTAGGTCTKTGGCTGTATCCACTGATTTCATACCGTCGCGCAAAGAGAGAATCTGATCCGCATCCGCATATTGAAGTTYGTGTTGGTGTGCCAAAGTATGGTGACAATAATGCTGCAAGGCCAAACTAACACAAGGAATAAATGAAAGGGTCGCCAAAATCTCTTTTTCTACACGGCTCGGTCTAAGCACACAGTATCTGTTAATAATTGTTTTAATGTTTGTGTTCTCAACTATCCGTATACTATGTAGCAAGTTGTAATTGTTGAAAGCCTCTAGCACTGTTCGAAGGTACAGTRCTCTTTTTCGTGAATGAGAGTAAATGAAGGAAATAGATACAGTTAATTGTTAATTTCGTTCTTCACTCGGTATGCGTAGATACAATCMATTCACTAAAATAAAACACCGTAAGTAGCAAAAATCTAAAACGTTCAAGTTTGTGTCGTCGGCCCCCGCAGGCTTTTAGCTTGTAGACTGTTTCGTTCGTTGCACAGAGCAATCACATGCGCAATACAACTACTGTAAATTTTTACCAAAATCTGAAACCTCCTTCTTTCTTCTTCTTCTCTTCCTTTTCCAAATCTTTCGGGTCTACCCATCCACTCTCAAAATATGGCATGCTAGTCTGTTTGGATTTACCATCTTCGTCCACCAAGTTGTTCGCTTCTAATGAGAACATGAAGTTTCCRGTTTCCTTGTCCACTCCCTATTGATTGATATTTTTGTGTCRAGACGAAAATACGAAGAAGCARAAGAGTATGATGTTGAGCCTGGATCATAATTATTCTCCAAAGAAGTCCCAGTAGMCTTTCGKTACAATCATTCAATCCATCAACTCCATCCTGGATACAATTGGACAACAAATTTCCACTCATTTGTGATCAGTATCAAACATCTGACGATCGTCGTAAGGCTGTCGGTCCCAACCGTACCTGAAAATCGCCCAAAAATGGTGCTCCAGCTCCTGCCGTAATCAAYTGGAACAATCCCTCCATTCCAATTTTCTTCTTTTCCAACTTGGGGTCCTCAGGCTCCTCCTCTTCGTCTTTCTTCCCAAACGTGGGAATGCCAAAGTACAGTTCCGTCGTGTGTTGTCGGACTTCGATTTTCGAATTAACATTGGTGAATCCTTCAACGACTGCCACAGAGGCAAACGCCGCAATGAACAATGGAGTGGCATATCGTGTCATTTTTAAATACTTTTCTGGTCAGCAAAGTGCGGTGCAGATAGTGTCTTTTGCTAAATGTCGTTGTCTTCGCTTCGCTTGCGATACAATTTTCCGTTTGTATTTCGAAGAACACGAGAAACAGCTTTTTGGATAGAGCTTGGTTTTGAAGCTTTCTCGGCGACGAAAAAACAATCCACGTAGTTGAAACTCGTATCCTATGAAAATATGATTTATACCCATACTACATAACAATGATGACGTCAATTTTGTCACACCGCATTCATTTCCTCAATTTACCGTTACTTTCATGGCACCGCAAACTTCTCAACACGTCACAGAGCTTTAAAAAAAGTCGACTCTGTGAAAAAGCCATGTAATTTCAAAAACTGAAAAATCAAATGATTCATTCGAATTGTTGTTCGGAGCGGAACAATAAAAGATTTACTCGTGTCGACAGCAATACACTGCTTGTTCTCAWTCTCCACAATAAGAATAATATAACGAAGTCATAAACCTACAATATCCAACATGAAGAYCTACMAATCTATCTTCCTCCTATTCGCTCTGGTCTTGTCTGCCGCCAACGCCTTCACCATGGATTCGCAGACAGGATCTGCATTTTTGGTGTCCCAACGAGCACGCGCATACGATGCACCAACGAGTGCTGCCCCAGTCCGCACCGGCGTATCCAGCCTCAGCATGGGTGGGAAAAAAGCAAAGTTCGGAATCTTCTCCCCTGCCGTGTATGGAGCCAAGATTGTTTTGGGAACTGACAAACTTAACAAACTTCGAGGAAAGGGAATTTCCCTCCACTCTTCGACAATCGGAGATTTCTGCCAGTGGTAAGTTCTTGAGAAATGCATCCCAACATTTTTGAAGGCTATGCTTCTGATTTTGAGCGGCGTAGGTTTGTTATGTCGCTTCTTGAGGATGCAGAGAAATTTCTTATCTTGCTGGTGACCTTTCAACTTTAACGTACTAATTGCCTTGTGTAATTTGTGAACCATCATCAATTGATTGTAAACAATTTCTTTTTGCGTTGCTTAGGGCTGGAGCTTACCATTTGCGAACGAAGTTGATCAAGAAGGCAAAGACGAATGGAGATATTCTTGGATTTCTTGTTTAARAATGAACCCGTGTTGTTCTGAGGAARAGGGTCCTCTCGACAGCAATACCGATTACTACAGAGATAGCTTCCTGGATKAAAAAAAGTTGAGTGCGCCYTATCTAATTACAGGTTTCGGATCAATTGAGCAGCAATTATCGAAGAGTCATKAATTGAAACTCATTCGGCGTCCTTACCGACAAGCTTTCATTGAAAAATTATCCGTCAATCAATACATTACGAAGATCGCTACTGCATAATTGGTAGCAATTATAAAGATTATTACTATTTGTACATAGATCATTCAAAGTAAAGTCTAATTTAGAGAACAGCTATGTCTTAGGTCATACTTTAGACATCAATCCTCTATTTCAATGATGTCGACATCGACCTCTCCCGACGAGTTCGTTTTTGCTCTCTTCSCAGGTTTCTCTTCGTCACCGGCGACGTCTCCAATCGATCGCTTCCCTTTTTCTTGTTCATCATCTTCGTCGATGATCAATACTACGTCGTCGTCATCGTCGTCAACCGCAGTTTTTGACCYCTCAYCTGTTGCTGATGTACTACTGCTGTTCGCGGCAACGCCGGGCTTGTCGTGCTGGTGTGTCGCTGGTGGTAGGGCGCCTACCGTGAAGGGAAAATCGGGGACCTCATCGCCCTCCCATACGTCTYTGTGCGTGACGGCCACTTGAATGCTCAAATTTTGCGAGTTGTCGTCGATCTCCAATACAGTTCCGTGCTTGATTCCCCCGCACGGTAATCCCGAAAGTTTCTTGGGAAGATTCATCTTGAATTCATCTTCATCCGCTCCATCCCCCTCTTCCCAAATGAAATCTCCCTCGAGTATTAGAGTGGGCTCCTCGAAACCCAACCGTCCCTTCACGATGCGTTTCAAGAAGTCCTCTAGCGTCCATTCCTCCACATTCAACGCAAGGGGTATTATGGCATTCTTGCATACAAAACAATTTGGATTCGGCTTCTCAAGTGGACTGGCAGTTAGGTACAAGCCATTGCGAGTACGGTTCCTAAGGCAGTTGACGTAGTAACAAGATTTGCTTAGATCCAGACCCTTTGATTCTGCCCCTGGTTCGTCACTGACTTTTCCTTTCTCTATTTGTCGCTTGAGGATTGCAAAGGCTTGAAGGATTTGCAAACCAGCACAGATCGCATTGGTGGTGGCAATTGCAGGAATGATGTTACCAGCTATACCCTTCGCACTGTAGAGCGATTGTAGAGGTTCTATACCAAAGACGGARCTTCTAAGGTTCGAAGCCGCAGTGACAAATCTCATTGCCAAGTGATCGTCCTTGTCGAATTCTTCCAGCAAAATATCGTTGGGWGTCTTTACGGCTTCTGCCAAGCATGCCGCCAATGCAGCCACTGACTCTTCGGGAGACCAAATATTCGTGGTGGATGTTGGAGGTGCTGTTGATGAGGCCATTCCACTTTCTAGGATTGATCCTTTGAGGCACGTTGGTGTCTTTTTGGCTGCTTTGTACCGTCCCATGTCCAATTGCTTTTTGATCTCAACGGAATACAAATCTTCCAATAGTCGATGTATTGCCGTATTTAAAGATTCGCCATTATCTTYAATAACATCTGACTTGAGAAACTTTCTTAAAACAGACACGGCGTCCATATAGGTGCTAGGTTCTTCTCCCTGGGGATCTTCGTAGAGCATACTCTCGTCAACTTTTGAATGGAATAACAGTTTGTATAATTCCTTACTCCACACAATGGTGTGGACCGGCATTGAAGGCGTTGATCGGATGGTGCAGATGGGATAGACCTTTTGAGTTTCTTGAGTTGTGCACTCGTAACACGCCACACCAGAACTCTTGTGAATCACCGTGACTTGACCAAGATATCCCGTCGTCCCGGCCTCAATGAGGGGCACATCAGCGGCAAGACAAAGGCGATTTACACGACGRCGAGCTTCTACATTATCGAGTGCATTAACAACCAAATCAAATTCCTTGATGAACGGYACGTTAAATTTTGACGTATCACAGACATTGCCATGGTGGGCCTGGTATGAAACTGGTGGAAGTTCAATGGCATTGTCAGTCGGGCTATTGCCATCAGTCTTCTCGTCGCCTGACGGAATATTCAAAGGGGGGACCATATCAGTAGCAACTTCACAAGCCACAGTGCATTTCGGCATACCAACGTGCTGACCACGAAAGAGAAGTTGGCGATTAAGATTTGAAACATCGATTGTGTCCAGATCGACGACCTGAACCCTACGAAATCCAGACAACGCCATATCTTTTAGGAGTTCGCAGCCAATTCCGCCAGCTCCGACACAAAGAATATTTGCAGTTTGGATCTATAGTTGATTCAAGCAAGTGAAGGATTGAAAGAGTAATTAAGTACTGGTTGGAACTCGACGATTCAACAGCTATAATCCGATTCCAATTGGATGTTTTGGATTGATCGACCTGAGCTTACCTTTTGGAACATTTCTTTACCGACCGTCCTTTCTAGTCCAGCCAATGGATTCGTCATCGTGGAGCTATTCCTTTTGACTCTTCGATATTCTCTGGTGTATTTAAATTGTAAACAGCAATCACGGTTTGTATTWCTGAGTTGCTTTTGTTTCACTGTGCATTACCGGTACGGTCTGGGGTAACAGCTACAAGTGTATTCAAGGATCAAAAACCCTCATGTCCATGGGTTTTGGGTTTTCAGTTTTCAGTCTACCGTAGTACCAGTACCCTACCGTGCGGTACGATTAATTTGTCGGAATCAACTTCTCCCATTAATCTCCTTCCTTTTTCAATCGAACTAGTCGATGATTACCGCGCGATGCATCTAATTTATTTCGTCATCATGCGTTCATGAAAGATACCTCCCCTCGCCAAATCATTTTTTWTGTGTTCTTTGTTGTCAAGAGGGATGATGGATGGGTGTCACATTTGAATTCTCGATAGAATCTGCTTTAGCCAGCTGGAACGGACTTCTCAATCTCAGTCATGATGCCGAAGTGCGGAAATACTTCTCAACAATCCTTATTTGGATGATGGGTTAAGAACTGCCCGTTTGATTTATTTGATGTCTAAAAACCTGGCGGACCAACGATTGGATCCGACCTTTAAACTTTGTTCCTCTTCTATGGTCTTCGTTTCGCCCATCATCATTGAAATTCTTTAGTGGACACAACGCACATGCTAACACAGAACGCCCTTCGTGATATTATGAGGTTCATACCATCAAAACTTTGGTTTTGAAAGTATTTGAACGGTTATCCTACCATCCCAAGTCCATCCGTAACAAAGAAGAAATTAGCAACACTCAAAAGACTCTCCGGCCGAAATTGTCGTACAAACACAATAAGCATCCATATCACTTGTAGATCATTATTGACAATTTATACTTGTAATCGCAAAGCGCTCTCTATTCTGTTTACCTGGAAACTTTGATCCATGACGTCTGTTTCGACTTCATCAGTAGGTCGTCACATCATGAAGATGTCCGCCTCACCAAGAGGCCATACCTCGAGAGAGGGGCCAGGATTCTTCGCACCATCCAAACTACCCATCACACTAAAATTGCCGCATGCTGTGCCTCAAAGTGGTAAGAGATGAAAAGATCAACCCTCGATCGAATATCTCGTGGCTTCTTTCAGAACAAACATCTCATGTTCAACCGTTCTCCTTTCTTCTATCGAACAAATACATCCTGATCCAGATACTTTAGGATTAGCATCGGCCCCTGTGACGCCAGATCCGAATAGATCCTCAAAGAGCAGTCCGAGCAAGAGCAACTGCAATTCCACARGGACAGCTAACAAAATCAAGTCTAAGAGAGATTCTAGTCATGTCAGACTCAACAAGTTTGTAAGACGATTGCACGACATGCTTGTCAGGGAAAAGCATTCCGGTATTGTCGAGTGGCGTCGCGGCTTACTGGTTCTATTCTCGACAGACGCATTTTCGAAGCGAATTCTTCCAAAGTACTTCAACACTCGGAACTTCAAGACTTTTCGTAGACAGGTACGCTGAGGCAGACGACCTSTTAGATGGATGGATCTACGGGTTTGCATCTTTTCCTGCTGTTGATCTCACCCTGCATRCTTGCCCCTTTCTCCTCTGCTACTTAATAGTTGAACTATTATGGTTTCGTTCACGTGAGATCCTTTAGTGCAACAGGTAACACAACGACAGCCTTGTGGATAAACCAAAACTTAGCCGAAGATGAAGCAAACAATGATGTCTCTGCCGTCCTTAAGCTTCGACGAGTGGAACCAAACGAAGTAGCAAAGACCGTGGAAGGAAGACGCCTGCGCAAAGAATTAGCAATTTATACTGTTGAGGAAGATATCGGACTGAATTCAAAGACGCTACAGATGGATCAAATCCGATCGATGGCTATTCGAGGGGAAGGGTTGTCCGGAGGATGTGCTAACCCGCACATCAACGCCAGTAGCAGGAAGACTTCAGAAGGGCATCTTCACATTTCAAAAGATGCTTATAATTGTACGACCAAAGCCATTCCAATTCATCACGTATGCTATGGTAGCAACGATGAGAAGTCTGTAGGATTTGAAAACTCATCGTCAGCAAGAACGGAAGAAATGGCAAACACTGATGTAGCAGCGAGCGTCTTGCTGATGCTATCAAGATCTTAACAAAAACATTGCAAACGATGATTCGCAACTACAGTAATTTGGCACCGAGATCTGGAATGCGATCTGCAAATATTTCTTTTTTTTWAACTCATGAGCTAACAAGCATCGTACATGTTTCAACTTTTTTAAAAGAAAGAACATACGCAAGTTGATTTGGCATGCATTTCACTCGGGGCAAGCACGACTACACACACTCTATTTCTATGGATTTATACAAACTCTGCTCTTTAGGAGCTCTACAACAAGAAGTTACTAAATCAAAATGCATAATATTCTTGGAAAAGCRATACAACAAAACCGACATAGTTTTTCTTTGAGGGTTACATTTCCATCGCTCCTGCTCGCCGGTATAATTGAACGGCATCGACCTCTACTTCATATCTTATCCTACAATACTTGTATTCGATGTTCGAATACCATAACGTGCACTGCAGTTCAATAGAAAACCATACCGTTGTCTTAAAAAATGATGGAGGAAGTACTTTTGAAAGTAGGGTGCGTATCATCTACTGGTACGTACCGTACTATTTTGACGAGTGATGAAAGATGAAAGGGGTTCTCTCAACATTCAAACGGGGGAATGATCGATTTTGAGTAATCTCCCCTATTTTTCTAAATTCATTCTCCAGAATGAACTTAACGGCTATCTTCTGGAACATGTTACGTACTCGTACTCTATGTACGGTAGAACGGCACGTACAGTTCGGTACGCACTCGTTGTAAGTTTAGTAGGATTTCATACGACCAGTACAGCACGCAGAGTTCGATTGCTGCGTTCCGTATCGTAACGAATCGAAAACGCACGAGCACGAACATCCAGGCGTTGGTTTTGTTTGTTACGAGGTCGTACGTACCGTACCGTACGTATCCCCCCAAATGAGAAGTGTGACAGACCACGAGCACGAGTTCCTCTCGTATCAGTGCCGTACGACCTTATCGGACCCCTGATCGTACGTACTCCCCGACTGTTTCCTTCTCTTAGGTGAGTTAGCTAATTACGAGYACGAGTACGAGTACGCCATCCCCTACGCTACGCAACCCCAGTCACATGAATTTTTACTCTCCACTCCCATAAAATACAAATCGATAGCGGTTAGGTCTCGACTCTCCTAGTCCATGGTTTGCGTTCTGAACTACGTCGTTCCTATTATTTCACTAGCTACTGCCTTTCAAGATACCTCGAACAGAATGCTTGGCTTAAGGAATTCCCTTCCATCCGSGTGTCGACTGTCCGTCCCTGACTCGGAMGGCGAAGACAGCAATAGTGTTGCAGACCCCTACGCCGAACTTACTATAGTCGATAACAATGACATTCCTTGCGATGAAAGTGGCTCCAAGACTGGGAGCGCGAGCAGCAATAACCGCGTGRCCAATGCACCATTGGTGACACACATTATTGTTTTGATTCATGGCTGGATGGGCAACCCAGCAGAAATGGGTTACATCAAGGAGTCGATACAAAATGCGGCAAACAAAAACGTCGCTTGCACTGAAGACAATGTTCGCCATAGATTCATCATACATTCCGCTGCTTGCAACGAAGATCGGACGGACGATGGTATTGCAGTAGGAGGAACACGCATTGCCGCGGAAATYAACGATCTCGTACGACACATTGTTCTTGACGGCGATTGCAGTAGTTCTGCTAGCCTAACTAGCAGTCCGGAAACCGCCAAATTTACGCTCAGTATCGTTGGCAATTCACTAGGAGGTCTCTATGCCCGCCATGCATTGGCCGGGATCAACTGGACCATCACTGATGAGTCCTCGCTATCTCCACCCACGACTCTGCTCCCTTTGATCTTTGTGACAACTGCCACTCCCCATTTGGGAATAAGCCAACAYACATACATCCCGTTGCCACGCGCTGCAGAATTTGTTGTGGCTCAAGGCATGAAAGAAACTGGAAGAGATTTCTTCCGGTTTACGCCGGTCTTGGAAGACCTGTTTCATAAAGAATACTTTGTCGATCCGCTATCAAAATTCCTTCAGAGGATTGCATATATCAACGTTTACGGCACAGATTTCCAAGTGCCAACTGCCACGGCAGCTTTCTGGGCGCCTGGTAGTGATTCCCCTCACCATCGAGTACCTGCCCATCYCATGGCCTCCGAGAATGATAACACTATGAAAGAWAACGATGCGGACATTGATTCGGAAGAACCCGTTTGTGTGCCCAAGGCAATTGTCATGACGCTTTCGACACCACGACGGCTAGACCTTTTGAACGAAGAAGAGGACGGCAAATCAGAGGCAGATGTTGACGAAGAGAAAAAGGAGGGAAAGCCACAGGACAACAATGATCCATCCGAGCTGTACAGATCTTGGTCAAAACGATTAGATCGACTCGGGTGGACGAAGGTCTTGGTGGATGTTAGGGAAGATGTCCCAACGGTGAATGTTCCTGTTGGAACGTCTGAAGAGTTTAAATCGAACGAAAACAGCAAGGAAGAAGACAAGGGAACCGACACTAGCGATGGYGGCGAGAAAGAAAAAGGAATGGACRCGGCTGAAGCTGTCGAGGATGCTGAAAGTGAAAAAGACGAAAMAGATCCGAATTTGAACAAGGATACTTGGACGGCGGCAGAGCTCTTAGCCGAATTCCAGGGAGGTCTGCTAACCGCCGGTGCAACTAGTGCAAAGCGCAGATCGAGTTTTTGGGATTTGAAACCGAGAATACCGGTACGGGATTTATGCGTCGGCATTTTCGTTGGAAAGTTTGCTTCCTGTAATTTTATCTCTCTAACCCAGCTTTTCTCCTTTCCACTTCTGCGTTTCTAGCTTGGACACACGGTGATGATCGCCAATGCCAAAGACGAATTCAATAAAAAGGTAACCAGTGGCGGTAAGCCCGTGATGGACTACCTTGGGCTATCAATGGTTAGAACGCTAACCTCTAATCCCTACAGCACCGATGTAGAGAAGGCTGCTTAATAATTCGTTCATTCGGGAAGAATCATTCGGATCCAAAAAAGGACCGAATCAAATAGATCAAACCGATTCAATGCACTCACTATGAGATGAAGTTACCACGTGATCCTACAGAAGCGCATTAGATTTTGTTTCTTGGAACCAAAAATTGGAAAA